ATTTGTTGTATTCCCTAGTCTAGGCATGGAGTAGTTCTCTCTTTTACTTGGGTGTTGTGAACCCTAGCTTTAAATATGTGATAGATTGTATGAATTGAATGCTTTGTATGCGGGTTGTGTTTTAATGCAAGGATTGAGGTATTTTCAGAATTTTTGAGTTTTGTTTTCCATTTCTCATTACTATGCAAATTTGACTTAGGTAGAGGAAAATCTTGTTCTTGCTAAGAGGATTTTATAAGCTGGATTCTTTGTAGTGGCTTCTGTAAGCCGCCTCCAACTTGTGTGTCCTTAAGAACAATGTTGTTCACGGGAAGAGATACGTTGGGTTTGCGCGCTTCTGGCAACACTGTTGTAGCCAGATTTGACGATGGAGTTTGGTTGACATTAGCTGGTCGACCAACCATCGTATCATTGTACGCAACCGATATGGCTTCATATTGAAACTCATCAAAATCATATGTGGCTCTACGTATTGACATATTAAAATCAGAAAAACAATAATCTAACTTATCACACCATCGATTTATATTTTTTTCAAGATTATACAATTTGAGTTTTACCTCTAGGCGAAACTCCTCCATGGATTTACGTATATACAGGATTTCAACATGTAGAAGCTCTTCCGTCCCTTGACTACGTCTATCTTCCTCGTTCGCCTGGCCAATTTCAATGTCGGTTGACTCCTCCTTCTCCTCCACAGGTACGTCTGGAAGATCGCAATCTTGTTTTTCTCGTCGCACAACCATATTCATGCCTCCACAAACAATGTTGTCAAAACAATGTCGTTCACTCACAATGACATATCGTTGTGGCAAAACCATCAACGTGGAGGCCACCACCGCATCTGTCCTTAAACAACATTGTTTGTTAGTAGTGCGGCGTTGTTTTCCTTACAAGATAGTAAACATTGCATGCGATACTAGCCTAGGCAAAACAACATAGTTGCTTAACCCCCATGACCTCGTTGAACCTACGATATTGTCCCTGCATCGCCAACCTCGCGACATCGTTGAACTCGCGATGTCGTTGGCCTCCGTTAATCTACTCTCCCCTGTAACGTCGTTCTTGCCTAAACGACATCGCTTTGTCACAACATCGTAAAAGTCATTATTATTATGATTTTTTATTCGCCTAGCTCAGTTCGCGACACCGTTGGTCTTGCGACAAAGTTTAGCTCGCGACCTTTTTCAATTCCCGATCAACTCCTAACTTCGGCCGAAACTTCAAACGAACGTAACTTTGCACTCGGGTATCCGATCGTAGCGATTATTTTTTTCATTTCGCATAACTTTTCAAGATCTACAACTTTTACTAGGATGAAATTTTCAAAACAGGAAGTAGTTGTGGATATACGAGACCTTGAGAATAACTTTATCTTTACTTTTCACAAATCCATGTACATTTTGAAATTATGATTATGTTAAAAGTTGTAGATCATGAAAAGTTATGCGGAATCAAAAAAAAAATTCATGACGTTCGAATTTTGGAGCACAAAGTTATGGCCGCCCAAAACTTGACGAAATCAAAAAAAGGCTCGTTCGGGGTGGCAAATGACGTTTTTTCGAGACGGAGGCGGGACCCGGCGGTTTGCGGCTTGCAAGATCTCATAAAGTTATTCGGATTCAAAAAATGGAGGCCGCAAACTTTTTGAGATCTTGCAAGCCGCAAACCGCCGGGTCTCGCCTTTCGTCAAACTTTGGGCAGCCATAACTTTGTGCTTCAAAATCCAACGTCATGAATTTTTTTATTATTCCGCATAACTTTTCCAGATCTACAACTTTTATGATAATCATAATTTCTAAATGTACATGGATTTGTGAAAAGTAAAGGTAAAGTTATTCTCAAGGTCCCTATATCCACAACTAATTCCTGTTTTGAAAATTTCATCCTAGTAAAAGTTGTAGATCTTGAAAAGTTATGCGAAATGAAAAAAATAATCGCTACGATCGGATACCCGAGTGCAAAGTTACGTTCGTTTGAAGTTTCGGCCGAAGTTGGGAGTTGATCGGAAAAAACAAAAATTGGACCAAACCGCTGGGTGGGGTGCCGGTTTTGGGCCAAACCGTTACCCCACCCAGCGGTTTGGTACAATTTTTTTTTTTATAACCGCGCTCCCGCCCAGCGGTTTTCGTGTAAACCGCAGGGTGGGGTGGCGGTTTTTGAAAAAGGTGGTATTTTTGGAATTTTTTATGTTGAATGGTATTTTTGGAATTTTTTTTTTTGAACAGTGATATTTCTAGAAAAAGTCGCAGGACTTATATGAGTAGTGGCACTTGTAACACCCTAGCTCGGCCGAGCACTAAATTTACCAAAATGCCCTTAAGTAATCAAGATCACTCAAAATGGAAATAATACAGAAAAATAATTTCTAAATCACCGTAGGAAAATCCCTCTTAACAAATCATAAATGAGCATCAGTCTCAAGCCTACTAATAAAAGTACAAAAGTGAAAGAGTTCACTTGGAATCTTTTGCCATCACTAACCCTTGTGACGATGACATCCTGAGCAACAGCTTTCTCTTGACCAGTGGTCTGAATGCTCCTGCTTTCTTGTACCTCCTGAGTGCGGGCGATGGGGTCAGTCCTAATCCTAATTTCGTTATCATACTTAAATGGAAAGCCATGCACATGCAATGCTTATGGTATGTTATTGGGTACATTAGTAAAAGTATCTTATTATTAACATATTCTTGCTTATAATCTTTTCTTCTTGCTTAACTTGATATGGGATCCCGCCCTCGACCTAACTAGCACATCCGTCCGGCACCAACGTATCATGAACATAACCTCCTCATCTACAAGGAGTAACATAGCTTACCTCCCCATCTACAGGGAGTAGTGGTGACCGCGTCCGGCACCGATCGTGACATACATATCATGACCCCTCATCTACAAGGTGCTCCTCATCTACAAGGAGTAAGGTGACCGTGTGCAACTAGTTAAGGGAGGGTTCTTATTTTTACTTAATAACTTGATATCTTATACGTACTTGCTTGAAAAACCTCTCACTCCATGGAGAGACATACTTAATCTTATACTTGCTTACTTGACTTGAGAAGTTTGAGCTTAATTAGGTGATCTCCCGCACAATGGGAAGATACAAGCTTATTAACTTGAACTTAATTAGCTTATAATTGAACTTGCATTTGGTTGACTCATAACGTAGTTTACATATGCTTCATGATGCTATGCATACATAAACGTAAAGACTGAACGTAAACAAATCAACTTAATATGAAAGCATATAAGGATGGACTGAACTAAAGCAAGAACTGAAATGCATAATATGAACTTAAATGCATATACTGATAACGAAAACTACTCTAGCCCCCTTTAACCACGCACCTTAATTTCAAGTCGATTATTAACTTATGTCCCACTTTGATGATCCCAAACGTACTTATAGGCCTTGTACGCGCAGTTTTCCTTCTTCCTTCACCTTTATCCTAGGGATAGAACACGTACATCTCACTTGGTTATGCACCCGTATACTTGCTTTATAGTAATAGTCCATCTTTGATTTTAACAATTCAACCCCCCTTATAATAATTAACCTATCATGCATTCTATGCACGTAACTAAACTTAGTTACTAACTTGCAATGGCTTTTGTTTCTAACCTGTAACCAGGCTTCTTTGGGTTAATAATCCATCAACCTACACTTTACTTGCATTCATCCATATATATATATGTAAGGATTATAACCCACTCCTTTAACTAAAGACCTACTGCAAGCTCCCACAACCATTAATATCAACTGATTCTATAAATTTAAGGGACGAGGATAAATCCCTTACCTCCAGCACCTAGCCCAAAGCACGATTTTGAGGATCCCCTAATGTCAATTCCTCGTTGTCGATCGTTGTTCGAGCTCCTGTAATCCCGCCGCCGAAACTATGGACGAGAGAGGATGATCCCAAGCTACTGTGCCCGACGAACAGAGGACACGACGTACGGAGGAAACGGTGTCGCTCCCCGGCTTGCGTCTCTGTCGGCTGTCGTTTTCGTTGGGGAGCTCGTTTGCTACTAGTGGAGGGAGGAGTTGTACGGAGGGAGGGGAGGTCGGAGATGGGAACTGAGGTGGCGGTGGTGGTTGATCGGCGGAGGCAAGGCGGCGTTGATGCTTGGTTTTATTGGTTTAGGGTTCTCCTTTCTACGGTTTGGCCACTAGGTTTAGTTTTTATATAAATATATCCACATGCATTGAGAGGGAGAAATCCCCACCTGTTGCCGCACTAGTTTAGGGTTAGATAGAGTTAATTAATTAATTAATCATAATAACTAAATGAGGGTAAATTTGGAAATTCATGAAAATTTTAGGTACCGGGTGTGACAGCACTCATGCTGATCACGTTGGGCTATAAGGGGTTAATGGGTCCTGCGAGATTTTTAGTCCTTCTGCAAAATTTCATTCACCTGAAAAGATCCAACCAAACGTGAAACCCTTTCGGATCATTTTCGCAACCTATATAGTAATATTTTCACTTCAACTTCTGTTTGTTCACGTTGACAATATCTCCGATAAACTGCGCTGTGGATCGGGGAGAAGAGTAAGGCAACCAAGTTTATAAGCAAAAAACTTGTGACACGATGACTCGCCCTCGCGCTTTTGTTAGTTGTAACCAAACATCAGCAAGCCAACAAAGGCCCGCCCCTCTTTTCATTAAAGTTGTCCCAAAAAACGTGACAGATTCCAGCCCTCTTTCCCCTCCCATGATTCTGGAGACACGCAACATGCACTGATGGGACAAAGATCAAACGTAAAAAACTCTTGCTAACGTTAATCATCCCCATATTAATTATTATGGTCAACCAAGTCCCCCAAGTAAAACCTTCCGGCCTCTAACTCCCAACAACTTCCCTTTCCAACTAGTACACGTTAATGAACAATGCGACACCAACACATCAATTTCCCATCTAAAATTAACCAACCACCAACAAAGAAAATGATGTTGAGGAGAAGAAAGAATTTCCCAATTACACAGCTCTGTGTTCTTTTGGGCAAAGATGGCTTCCTTTACTCGTCTTTCTTCATGGCGTCTTTCTTCTGGCCTCTCTTGCGGATCCCCATGCAGAATTTCAGCCTCCACGCATCCACGGCTGACTCTGGGAGGGCGCCTATCAGAGCCCAGAGAAACGAGTGAGGCCAGTAAGGCGTGCAACGAGGCTCGTACCCTATCCAGCGCAGTCCAGCCTTGGCGTAACCTTCGTTCGAAGGAATGAAGAATGAGGACCTCTTTATCGATGCCATCTTTGTGGCCACGTATAAAGGAACCTGCATTTCGGGAACTCTGGATGAGTCGATAAAGTTTGAATTGAACATAACATACGTACAGCGAACGAGCTTATATCATACATAACATCACATATCACAGCTCGAGAGCTAGTATTCGACTATTGTCTATTCATCTCATTTTCGGAGAAACCAGGTGATGAACTTCACAATGTACGAGTTGGGAATGGTATTATGATGATGTGAATGAAGGATCAAGTGGTCCATAGGTAACCAAAGCAATCCCTCTGAAATCAGCTCTTGAGCTGTGATATGTGAAAAAGCTGCATCATTTCTAAATCATCCATACAAAGTGAGAAGTGGGTTGATTATATTAGTCCTATACTTCTTCTCGAAAAAAACACTCTTAAAGTTGGCATGAAGCTCAAGGAAAGCACTCCATTTCACTTTAATCCCCACAGAGAATCCATTTCAGCCTCTCATTACCATTTTAAACAGTTTCGTGCTCAAAACAAGAACCGTAGAGATACTTCCTAACCCTCATTTCACCTAATCATCAACACAGATTGCAGTTTCCCTCCTCCTAATCTACGCGTGCACCTCCCAGTAGCATATTAAACACTTCAACATGCAAGAAAATGTATCATAATGATTCTTCCTTAAGCTCTTTATAAAGCAGGCAATCGATTCAACCCCTTCAAGTTCCAAACTTAAACTTGTGCAATGTGCACTATGCAACGTGCAAAGCTTAAATCCCTAAAGTTCCAAGTTCGAGAATTCGATGATGGTAATACCTGGCATTGCACATCAATCCCACTCTTCTTGTACTCAACATAAAGGCATCTCGAGAACTGATCAATGTACCTGAGACCCCCCCAAAACAAACAAATCAGCACAAGTCAATCTCACAAAAAACTCTTGGGACATCAATCAAAACCACCAAAAAGAAGCTCAAAGCTTACGCTTTAGTAGCAGCATAAACAGCATAGAGAGGATCCGAAGGGATCACAATGGCAGCACCAGATCCAATGTTGACTATGGCGCCCTTCTTTCTTTTCAACATCACAGGCAAAACCGCCTGAGTCACTTTAGTCGTCCCTTCCACATTCACCTTAATCAAATTCCTCAGCAGCTCCGCGTCCACCTCGTGGAAGAATCTCGCGTATGGATACGAAACGCCAACGTTATTAATCAAAACTCCGACATCAAGCCCTTCAATCGTCTCCTTGATCCTCGTCACCCCGCTGTCGATATCCCCACTGAAATCGACCACCACCGTTTTGACTTCAACTTTACCATACTTGGCGGTAATCGAATCGGAGACTTCTTTCAGCTTGTCGGGGTTCCGGCCGACGATTACTAGATTGATTCCTTTGCGAGCAAGCTGGAAAGCAAATCCCTTGCCGATCCCGTCAGTAGCTCCGGTAACCACCGCCCACGAGCCGTATTTCTTGAGGTTCTTGCCCTGGCGGAGGAAATTAACGTATACCCATTGGAGGAGGGCGAAGGAGAATTTGAGGGCGGTGAGGGAACCTAAGATTAAGAGAGGGAGGAGATAAAAAGGCTGGTCTTTTAACTTGTCGAGGAAGCAGAGATCCATTGGAGGAAGCTTGATTGAGTTCGTTCGAGCTGGATCTGGATTGGAGAGGCGGGGAAAGGGGAAGAAGTTGAGAACTGAGAAGTGGGTTTTGGTGGGGGTAATGAATTGATTGATATAGAGCTGAGATTTTGGGGTGAGTGACTGCGATGCCGAAGGATTCCTATGCAGAGAAAGAATGGTAGGGTTAAGAGAGTTATAAAGGACGAGGGAAAAGGAGGGAGAGGGGGATGGGTGAAGTAGATGAGCGGAAAACCACCGTATTTAACTTCTGGATGGCGACAGCAGCCATAACTGAACGTGGGGGCTGGGGCGGAGAGCACCAGAGAGGCAGGGGTCGTAAACAGAGTATGGGTTTTCCCCCCTTCCTTTTCCCATTCTCTTTTACGTTTTACCCTTCCCTCTGTTCTCCGAGCAAAGGATTAGGGAGTGTGACGAAAATGCGAAGGAGAAGAAAGGTTTCAAATTAAACAAAACCCAAACACATTACATGAAAGTCGAACGAGAAAACTACAACACTCGGTTTTAAATTTTGTGACATGCGACCGATTCTAAGAACGCCCTTTAGTAATTGTACCCCGTTTGTTTACATATTAAAAAATGTATTACTAGAATTTGAATCTATATCACTCAAATGAAGAAAGAACACGTAACCAACTAAATTATATAGTAGTTGTTGTAATTTAATTAATTAAACAAAATCCATTACTTTAAAGTGGGATGAGAAAACTGCAACCCCCATTTCAAATTTTATGACCTAAGAGCGATTCTAAGAATGTCTATTTAGTTATTGTACCTCATTTATTTCTACAAAAGAATGCTCAATTGGAGGAACGAAAGTAAAGTTCTGACTTAAGCTGATTGGGTGAATTTTTACTGCTTTTACAAAAAAAGCTCGAGAGACTACTTGATTGGTGTGTGGAAAAAAAGAAGTAGATGTCGTTTGGAAGATAGAAAGAAGTGTTGATTGATAAGATTTAGAGACTTGTTTGTCCAGTGAACTAGAACATATAAATAACAAGATGGTTTCGTTGGATTCAAGAATTCTTTTCAATTTTAATTTAGGCGACTACAATGGTGATGGTTAAGGATTATGGAGATAGTGAGAGGTTTTGATAGACCGTCATTTACACATGTTTTTACCCTCATACTTACACCGTTTGGGGTGTTGATTCTCGTGTTTTAGGCCGATTTCACGCTAGGTTGTGCTTGTTTGTGTTATTTCAGGTCCTAGTACGTGAATGAAGGCTTAGGAGCGAGTCTGGGGTCGATTGGACGAAGAACGGACGAAGGGCGAGCTGTTTGGGGAGTGCACGGGCAGATCAGGAGGCTGCACGGCCGTGCACTTGAGCCATTTGGCCGTGCACCTCATGTCGAGGCCATGCACGGGCAGGCTTGAAGCTTGCACGGCCGTGCGCCTGGCCGTGCAAGATGGACGAAGACCCAACAAATGAAACGGCGCGTTTTGAGGGTGCACGGCCAGAATTGTGTAGTGCACGGCCGTGCACCTGGCCGTGCAACTCGGGAAAGTCGGTTTTAAAGCCTAATTCGAGCCAAAAGTGGGAGAATCGTGTTTTGAGAGCAAAAACAGAGCCCTAGAGAGAGAAAGTGCGAAGAACACATCCTAGAAGCTGTCCTAGAGCTGGATTTCATCGAATCGAGCCTGGAGATCGTCATAGGAGTGAAAATCATCGTCCCGGAGCAGATTATCCTCATCGTTATGAGTATGACTAATCCGATTCTTGTTTTCTCTTCTCTCTCTATGGAGTAGAACCCTTCTCTCACTTGGGTATGAAGAACCCTAGTTCCTTGTGTTAGGGATTTGATTGTAATGACTTGGAATGATATTACTGCTTGATTTTAATCGAATGACGCATGTTTCATGAATTGATTTGAGTCTGATCAGCTTGTCTCAATTTCTGCTTCAACCTGAGATAGATAGAATCTGATTAGGTTGTTAGAGCCTCTTCATTCGATAGTAGGAGATTGGCTATACGAGAGTTAGCCAGTTTACTGCTTTGTACTGGTGTTCTTGACGCCAGTAGTGGAGTTCTGTGTTCATAGCCTCAGCTTTCTATCCCGGTGAAGACTAGTCGTCTGCCGGGTAGTTAGACTGAGAGGGCTTGGTCAGCTTAAGAGATTCCAAGCTACTGTCGGATCTTCTGCAGTCTAATCAACAGTAAATCAACCCAGGGAATTGCAATTGAACCTAACTAAGGGGCTAGGGGGATTCAATCCCGAGTGACTCTTGCCTGCTTTAGAAACCCGAACAATTTACTGCTTTCTTGTTGCTTTTACTTTTCACAACAATCACTCGAACTAGTTTGCTAGATAATAGAGAATCACGGAGTAAGCAGTAGATCTAGACCCCGGGTTGATAATTAAACTTGCCTATACTGCAGTCCCTTTCATTGGTTACACTTGGCCATTGTTTGGTGTTGTGTTTTAGCGTGTCAAGTTTTTGGCGCCGTTGCCGGGGAGCCTCTAGGTTATTGGGGAAACGTGATAATTTGTTACTCTAGCTTTTTCTTTATTGCATTTTTCTTTTCCACCTGTGTGCCTTCACGGGTTGTTTCTTCTGAGTGTGTGCAGGTAGTGCATGACCCGTAGCCAGTCGGGAGATCTACTACCACTTGACCAGGAGCTTGAACGAACCTGCAGGAACTCCAAGCGGGTTCTAAAGGCGCGACTGGCTGCGGAGAAGGCGCTGTCACAGCTACAGATCGGAGAAGAAGAAGAAGGCGAGATGGGTGATCCGCAGAACAACAATGTGATCCCCGGGGAGCAGACCATGGGATCCTACTGGACCGCTAGGGCTGCGGACATGAGGTCACCTATTCAACACCCTCAGGTCCCAGCCAACAACTTTGAGGTGAGCACCTCCGTGATCACCATGCTGCGCGGTTCAGTAGTGTTCCGTGGTAAGGAGGGAGAGTGCCCTCGATCACATCTCAGGCGATTCCACGAGCTCATCGATGGAATCAAGATCAATGGGGTACCAGCAGATGCCATCCAGCTGAGGTACTTCCCATTCACTCTGGAGGGGTAGGCCAAGGAGTGGCTAGACACTCGACCTCCGGGCTCCATCACCACGTTCGCCAACCTGGCGGACAAGTTCCTCACCCGCTACCATCCTCCATCCAAGACAGCTGATCTCCAGAAGCAGATTACACACTTTTCTCAGGATGAGGATGAGACCATTCGGGATGCTTGGGAGAGGTACACCAGCCTCTTTCTCAGGTGTCCCAACCATGGTTTCAATGATGCGTTCAAGGTGGGCACCTTCTATCACGCCCTCTTCCCGGAGGACAAGCAGCTGATCGATTCGGTTTGTGGCGGGAACATGCTGACCAAAACCCCGCCACAACTGAATCAACTCTTTGAGGAGATGGCGGAGAACGGTTATGACTGGGGCACTGCCAGGAGATCGAGACGAGCCCCTGGAAGGGGTGTGCATGCTGTGGGCACCCAGTCATCTGATCTGGTGCAGGTGGTATCGAAGCTGGTTTCAGCTATCGATCGTTCTGGTTTGATTGCAGGTACCGGACAGCCGCAGGCGATGCACTGCCAGTGGTGTGAGAGCTCTCATCACACCGTGGAGGACTGTCAGGCTATGAGGGAGTCGTCCACTCCCCAGGAGCAGGTGGATTTCATCGGGAATGCCAGGCGCTTTGACCCCTACAGCAACACCTATAATGAGGGGTGGCGCCAGCATCCTAACTTTTCTTGGGCTGGGCCAAATCCCAGACCACCAGCTCCCCAGGGACCTCCCGGTTTCCAGAGGCCTCCATACCAGCCCAGACAGGGGCAATTTCAGCAGCAGCAGCAGCCACTCTACCAGCCCAGACAGGGGCCAGTTCCACCTCAGTCGCAGGCACGACCATTTCCACAGGCAGGGGCAGCCCCAGCACAGGTTGACCCGATGGCGGAACTGAGAGATCTGGTGGGTTCTCTGGCCTCCTCCAGTGCGAGTAAATTCAATAACATGAAGCAGTTCATGGAGAAAGCTTCTGGCAAGTTCTTGGAGCTTGAAGCTGGTCAGAGAAACACGCAGGCTGTGCTGCGAGATATACAGACCCAGCTTGGTGGTGTTGCCCAGGCTGTTGCTCGGAGGACTCCAGGTACCTTGTCTGGTCAGACCATCCCTCACCCGCAGAACCAGGATGAAAACCGCAGTGCCATCACAACCAGGAGTGGCAAGGTGACTGCCGATTCACCTGTTCGGGCAGCGGAGAAAGAGACCCCTGCTTCAGCACTTCCAGCTAATCAGGAAGAAATGGAGAAGGAGGTTGAGGTGCCTGCTCCTAAACCGCAACCAGTGGTGAAGGAGTATGTACCACAGCTTCCCTTTCCTACTCGGTTGCACAAAGACCGACTGGAGACTGAGTTTGCCAAATTCATGGCAATGCTGAAGCAGGTGAATATTAGCATGCCCTTCGTGGAGGCATTATCGAAGATGCCCAAGTATGCCAAGTTCATGAAGGATCTCCTCACCAACAAGAGGAAGCTTGGGGAGCTGTCTACGGTGATGCTAAACGAGGAGTGTTCTGCCATCCTGCAGAACAAACTACCAGAGAAGCGAAAAGATCCAGGGAGTTTCACTATCCCTTGCATGATTGGCAGTTTGCATGTAGGGAAGTCCTTGGCGGATTTAGGCGCTAGCATTAATGTCATGCCATATTCACTGTTTAAGAAGCTAGGCCTAGGTGAACCCAGTAATACTAGGATGAGCATCCAGCTTGCTGATAGATCTATTGTGCATCCTAGGGGTATAGCAGAGGACTTGATAGTCGCAGTAGGGCCATTTTCATATCCTGTTGATTTTGTGATTTTGGACATAAATGAGGATGTTGATGTGCCATTGATACTGGGTAGACCTTTTCTCGCCACCGCCAAGGCACTGATTGATGTTAATGATGGAAAGCTGATTTTGAGAGCTGGGGGTGAACAAATCACCTTCTCTGTTTCTGATAATATGAAACACCCCCAGCTCCATGATGATCTTGATTACTGTGATGTTGTTGCTGATTTTGAGACCGCACTTGCCATCACGAGTGCGGGTACTGATGATTTCCTTAAGCGTTGTCTTTTGCTAGGGGAACAGGCATCACAGGATATGCAGCTGGCGGAGCAGCTTGCGGAGCTGGACGAGGCTGCGAGCGAGGGGCGAGAGCTGCCATTCAAGCCGATTCTCATCTCGCCCCGGCTCGCTACATCATTGGAGGAGCCACCAGAGTTGGAGCTTAAACCCCTCCCATCTCATCTGGAGTATGCATTTCTCCGGGAGGGGAATAAGCTCCCGGTTATTATTAGCTCGGATCTGACCCCCGAGCAGAAGAGCAGGCTGGTATGGCATGGAAGATCACTGACATC